ATTTCCTTATGAAGGCCCCATGTTACATAAAACCTATATTAAATGAAGTTTGTATGATTTTATCCTGTTACTCTGTCTTACATCAGTTTCATTCTTAGACCTGGCCAGAGACTCTAAGAGAGTAGAGGTAAGATTTTGCCTCCCTTAAAATTACTTCTGGAAAATGATAGCTTTGCCTCTGAAGGAAGCAGTTAGAATTTTCTGTTGTCCTCTTTCTTTAAAGTGTCTGGTAAAACTCTGAGTGCAAAGGGCTTTGTGTCATATATCAGGCACACACTTATAGATAGAATCACATTCTCAGAAGCAGATGTGATGTGATCAAGAGTGTTGGCAGCTGCTGCTTGTGGGTTTCTCAGCACTCAGTGGACATTAAAATTTGATAGCAAATGTTATCCAACATTTATATAGTAAGACCCTGCCTAGAAAATGTGCAGTGATTATTAAATCATCAACAACGAGATCATGGAAGCTGTTGAAATCAAAATAGCTTCCTGTTTCTCTCTTCTCAAAGCAACTTACTCCCCCACCTCCCTTGGGTGTTATGTAACAAGCTTTGTGGAGCAGTTGGTTATGGTGGTAAAATCTACTTCTAGGCAAGAGAGTAAAAAATAGAAATTGAAGAAAAAGAAAACAAAACACACATTTGATAAAAAATGATGTAAATGAACAAATATGTATATACACAACACATAAAAAATCATTTGGAAAAATGTACGCAATAGTATTAACAGTAGTTTTGTATGGGTGATGACAGAAGTACTTAGATGACTATCTATTGGCTTTAGAGTGGTATAATTTACATGCAGTGAAATGCTGTAACCCATTTAAGTATACAGTTCTATGAATTTTGACAATGTATACATATTTTTAATCATCACCAAGATCAAGATAAAACATTTGCATCTCTCCCCAAAAGTTTCTTCATGCCCCTTTTAATTAATTCTACTTCCCCCAACCTCCAGCTCCAGGCAGCCACTGTTCTGCTTTTTTGCAAAGTGCTTTGAATTTTTTTCATTTTCCTTATCTGTATATTGCAATATTTCCTAGTAACATATATTTCTTTTTAAAATTAAAAAAACATATTTTAAAAACTTAAAAATAATTTAAAAACTATGTTAAAATACAAAAGAAATGCAAAACATTAATCTATGAGATAAAGTTATTTCAAAATTGATTTATATACATCTCCCCCATAATATATGCTCCAAAGGGTGGAATTTTTATTTTCTTGCTTTGCCTCCTTATTCTAAAGAACCTTTCCCCCCAAACCACCCCTGACACTCCAGTTATCTGGCTGACCCAAAGTTGCTCAGACCAACCCTACCCTCAAAGTCCACAGCTCCCATCCCCTCATGAAGCAGTGGCCTCTAGGGGTTATAACAATCTTCTTACACAAAAGGAAAAAAAAAGGGGGGGAGACAGTCCCTTTTTCAGAAGGTTATAGATATGTGACATTGATTTCAATATATTGCTTAGGAGACTCATTTAAATTACTCTTCTTCCCTCATTTCTGTTTGAAATAGCTCCCAACCATAAAGAGATAATTACACACAGCGAAAGCTTAAACACAGTCCAAACATCAACAAGGTTTCCTTCCATGGCTAAGTCTCCTGCAGAACTACTGTAAACTTTCCGAGACTCTAGGGAATGAAGGAAAACAGTGGTGAATGAAACAGACAGGACCTTGGGATTAGGTGAGAGGTTGCAAACCTAAGAAGCTGGTAGCTTCCCTACCTACAAAGGTTATGAAGAAGATCCTAACCCACGTATGAAGTACACGAGGTGCTTCTGTGGAAGCCAAAACAAATGATCAAATATTTATTGAACACCTGCCTGCCTCCTATTCAGATACAAAGTCCTCCTTTGTACCAAAGCACCATGTACACTTCAGATGATGCAGCCTAGAAACCCTGATCAGAACACATAATTTTATTTCGTTAGCATTGCCCTAAGGGAGTAGTGATACAGCATACACTGCCTGCTTTCTGTGTAAGAACTTTACCTATCTTATTTTTCTTAATTTCTCCATTTTACAAACGAGGAAATCAAGGTGTTGAGGGTTTGGGCAAATTGCCGGAGGCCGCATGGAAAATAGCAGAACTGGAATTTAAACCTCCAAAGCCCTGCTCTCCTCAACAGCCTCACGCCTGTTTGCTCTGCAAACAATGGCAGCAGCGCCCGTTCCCTTTAGTCTGCTTGCTAATGTTGTACTGAAAGCATTTGCAAAGAACTTTCATTGCTTATTTGCAAGGCTTATGCCTGTACCTTCCTCTTCTCTTGAGAATATATCTTTCACTCATTTCCTCTTGATTCCACAAGTATGAGATAAAGCAGAAAATGACTGGCTTTTATATATTTGTCTACTTGTTATTGAGGAAGCACTATCACCATGGAGAAAGGGAACAACTCAAATAGCATTCCCGGCTCCTTTGCTTCTGTCACACCAATCTGCTAGATTGATTTCTTCACAGAATTGAGCAGTTGTTAGAATGTGCTGCAGATAGAGCATTTACTTTTTCCTCAACCTTTGAATTAAGAAGATTAATTAATATAGTTAATATTTATTATTGTTCTGATAATTTAAAAGGGAAGATAAGGGAACGTTTTTATGTGCCAGGCACTGTTTTACATAGATTATTTTATTCCTATTATTATCATTCTTGTTTTTCAGTGTAGAAAATTACTTGGAGAGGTTAAATAATTTGTTCAAGGTCACACAGCTTGTAATTGTTCAAGGTCGGCAGAGCCAGGTTTCAAACCCAGCCTGTAACACTGTTATACAGAGCTGTTATGCTGTACTCTGCTCCCACCTCCAAATTCAGCTGGGTTCTCATGGGAGTGGCATACTGAATTCATTCAAACAACACTAATCTATTAAACATTTCCTTTAAAAATGTTTCAAAAAATCCGAGGAGAAAAACAACAAAAATCAAGAAATCTTAGAAATAAATAAGTCAAGTGGAAAGAGAGGCCCGTTAATAAGGAAGAGGAAATGAAATAGGGCTAGGGACCTCCGGATCCAGACCTCTAACCATCACTGCCTACTGTGGGGAGCTGATTAGAGATTTGGCAGATTGGCCACTGCCTTCAGTGATGAGACATTTTTATTGTTTGGCTGAAAGTTTTTTTTTTTTTTTTTTTTTAGAAAAGTGTCAATGTAGGAAGAATGAGACTAAGGGATGGGCTTTTAAAGTAATTAATTGAAAATGACTCCATTCATTGAATGTATCAAGCTGGAAAGATGGCTGAAAAATCATTTTAATCCCTTTATGATGCTGCCTCATATAGGTCTGGTTTGGTTATGTAAGGTTTTAACAACTGGTCTGGGTGGAGAATGATTCTAATAAGGCCACAGTCATCAAGGTCATAGAAGACATCTGTTTACATCTTTTCCACGTAACCATAATCAGCCAGCCACCTGCAGGACACTGAGTGACAGACATATGTAAATCCGTTGTCATTCTTACACAAAGACTCATAGATATCTTGCCAATGTTCAGTAGTAGGACCTTTTTATGGTGGCAATCAAATATTTATTGAGCACCTACTATATACCAGGTTCCCATTATGGAAATAACTATAGTTATTATTAATTTAGGCATAACATCTTCACAGCTTTTAAAAAACATTCTCTCTCACATTTACCTTTACATGTTTCACTTGTTACAATCTTCTGCCAGGTCACCATATCTCACATCAACAACCCACAATGGCCATCCAAGGCTTGGTTGTGCCTCAGGCCAAATCAATTATTATTGATTTACTAATAGCTATGTTTATCAATAAGAATTACATAAAATGAAGTATTCTCGAACTAAAAGTATTAGATTTTGTTTGGTTTCTTTGTTATACTTCTTTTCCCCTAAATTGATGGGCTAGACATATGTGCTGTTTCATTTCTTTCTCCTAATCTGATTTTTAAAAATTTTGAAACATACTACTCATTCTAAACTTTCTGTTGTCTTTTCTTGCTGGGTGTGGCAATTCAGATTCAAATTCCACAGTATTGTCAACTCTGTGTTTTCTTACATCTATTTCATAGATAATGCAACCAAGGCTCAGAGAGTTCAAGTGTATAATCCAAGATCATACAGTTAGTAAGTAGCAGCTGCAAAAATGATATAGTTAACCATAAACCAGTGAGAAAGAAACTTAAGAGGAGTAGGAGTAAATAGTATGAAGTACACAGAGAAAGGTTTCCCTCCTCCCCCTTTCAGAAAAAAGGTGGATAGGAGAGTCAGGGAAGTCTCTGTGAAGGAGATGAAATCTAATCTGCAAGACTGCCAATCACTCCACAAACAATTGAGAGTGTTGACTAATCTGGAGCAAATATTTTTTTTCTTTTGTTCTCATTATATATATATATATATATATATATATATATATATATATATATATATATATATATAATAGTTTATGTTTAGAGAATATAAATGAAAAGTAGATAAATAGCCACTAATCTATATAATAAAAGCCTAAGCAACTATTATGGTGGAACAGCCAGAATGATCTGTGGCTAGGATGCACACTGACCATCAGAAAGCAGACACTCAACACAGGAGCTGCCCCTGGTGGTCAGTGCTCCCCCATAGGGGGAGTGCCACTCAGCCAGAAGCCCAGCTCACAGCTGGCGAGTGCAGCAGTGGTGGCAGGAGCCTCTCCCACCTCTGTGGCAGTGCTAAGGAGCAGTGAGCCAAGCAGTAAGAAGAAGCAAGCAGATGGGCAGGAAGGAATAAGGGATCCCAGACTGCGAGAGGGATGTCCTGGATTGTGAGATGGCACAGCCTGGGCTGAGGGGACCCCCAGCCTCCAGTGCAAGAATTTCATGTACTGAGCCTCTAGTTGGAATATAAAGTGTTTTGCTTGACAATATGTGTTTTGCTCGACAATATGTGGATTTTAAGTACATTCACAGGCTTTAATATATACAGAATGAATATAATGGGAGAAGATCCATTGTTAGTGTTGAAATTAATAGTGTATATGTCCATTCATCAAGTTTAGTTACAGTTCTCATGATACAAAATTAATCCTCGAAATGCTTGGTAAATATGCCGATTCTGGGAACAAATGAATCCTCCACTTCTGAAGGCTTGATATGGGCTCCGATTTAGGTCTCCAATACATGTCCAGCGATTTTTGGTGCCCTTTTGGGAAACACACCATTTGGCATGATCCTGATAAGAACTGAAATAAGATTGTCCAGATATCTTAATTGCTTTGACATTGTAGACATGGTAAGGAAGGGAACAGTTTGAAGAAAGCTCTTGTCTCTTTCGCTGCCAGGTTTCAGTAAGCAAGTGTACCTTCAACTGTTGAGCCATCCAGGCTGCAAAAATGTCTAGAGTTTATAAGGGTAAAAATAGTGAGGTTAGTATTTATACTTAGACTAGAGGCCTGATGCACGAAATTCATGCACTCAAAGAGGGGCATCATTCAGTCTAGCCTGTACCCTCTTGAAGTCCAGGACCCCTGGAGGGATGTCCAACAGATGGCTTACGCCTGCTTCCCAGGGGGAGTGGGCCTAAGTCAGCAGTTGAACATCCTTAGTGCTGCGGCAGAGGTGGGAGAGGCTCCCACAACCACTACTGTGCTCGCCAGTCGTGAGCCTAGCTTCTGGCTGAGCAGTGCTCTCCTTGTGGGACAGCACTAACCACCAGGAGGCAGCTCCTGCGTTAAGTGTTTGCCCCCTGGTGGTTAGTGTGCGTCATGAGCCGTATGTCCCGCCATTCAGTCAACTTGCATATTACCCTTTTGTTATATAGGACTAGAGGCCTGGTGCATGAAATTTGTGCAGGGGGGTGGGGGGTAATGTACCACAGCCCAGCCTACACTCTCTCCAATATGGAACCCCTTGAGGGAAGTTGGGCATCCCTCTCACAATCCAGGACTGCTAGCTCCCAATTGCTCATCTTCCTGCCTGCCTGATTGTCCTTAACTATTTCTGCTTGCCAGCCTGATCACACCCTAACCACTCCCCTACCAGCCTGTTCAATACTTAACTGCTCCCCTGCCAGCCCAATTGCCCCTAACTGCCCTCCCCTGCTGGCCTGGTTGTCCCCAACTGCCCTCCCCTGCAGATCTGGTCACCCTCAACTTCCCTCCCCTGCAGGCCTGGATCCTTACCCCCAACTGCCCTCCCTTGCATGCCTGGGTTCCCCACAACTGCCCTCCCCTGCAGGCCTGGTTGCCCCCAACTGCCCTCCCTTTCAGGCCTGGGTTCCACCACCCCCCCAACCATCCTCCTCTGCAGGCCTGATCACCCCCAACTGCCCTCTCCTGCTGGCCATCTTTTGTCCATATTGGGGCGGCCATATTTGACCACATGGGTGGCCATCTTGTGTGTTGGAGTGATGGTCAATTTGCATATTGCCTCTTTATTATATAGGATAAGTATCTAAAAATATCCTCAGGAATGAAAATCATCATTCATCTCTGATATGTGGATATCACAGATACAATAATAGCAACATAATTGAGATAGTAGATGGAAGAATATTTTGTAAATGCTAAAATATATGCAAATAAAAGTTATTATCATTATTTCTAAGCTGATACTAGTTTCTGAAGATGTTCTTTGTCCCTCTTTTGTATTTTTCCCCTGAATCATCAGAATATTTCCTTTACACAACACCAAATGAGCTCAGCAGCAGAGTTATATAGCATATTATTTGATGATGGTCTTTCATACCATCAATAAAAGAATCAGACTTTGCAAAATGGAGGAAGTTTTGCCCCTGAGCTGACTGAAGTGTGGCCAGGTGCCGGGCAGGGGTCTCTGATGAGCTGGATCTGGCACACAGCTGGGGCATGTGAATGAGCTCCTGCTGAAACATAGCCGGAATGGAACAGCTATAGATGTTTGGGTTGCAGATCAAGAGCTGAGAGTCTGAAAAAGAAACAATCAAGAAAATCTGAGAATTAAGATACAAACGGACGTGTTTTTTTTTTTTTAATTCCAGATATTTTGTGAATTAAAACACAGAATAAAAGTATTCCCTTCTTTAAGCCAATAGCTTTCAAATAACTTTTGAGTTAAGATAATTGACACATAGTGAGCATTTCCTACTTTGCAGGCATTATTTTATGAATTGTAAGTGGATTTACTAATTAGTCCTCATAACAATCTTTTTATTAGGTAAGTTCATTTATCATTATCCTCATTTTATAGATGAATTAATGGTTAATTCATGTCACATGCCCATAGTTATAAAGCTTGTAACTGATGGAGTTGCTATGCAAACCCAGGCAGACTAGCATCAGAGGCCATATGTCTTTTCTCATATATATATATATATATATATATATATATATATATATAGAGAGAGAGAGAGAGAGAGAGAGAGAGAGAGAGAGGAGAGCTCTCATGTACCAATCTCCAGCTTCGTGATGTGCACACCTAAGCTCTTTGTTGTATGGCTGTCTAATCATTACATGAACCCCATTACTTAGACTGGGGTTTGATTTAGCTCAGAATGCCTTGTCATAAGATGTCATAATTTTAAAACCTTTTTTCTAGAGGCAAGTCACTTTTTGCAGTTATTTAGCAGTCATCTAAGTAAAGAGTGATTGGTAAAATTGTGTTCTTTCTTTTATTCTTCCTCTATCATAGTTTTCCAAAGCCAACTCATTGGACCATTTGAGCTTGAGGCCTTAAATTTTAGATCATCTGAGGACTCAGATGGGTCAGATTGGCAGGCTACAGGCAACATGAGATCTGTACTTTTTAAAATTTTTATTTTTTATTTTTATTTAGATTATATTTAAAAAGCAGGATCTCCCTCTCTTCTTTGAGAGAAGCTGGCGAGAGTCAATACCCCAGTTTGTCACATATCCACTGCCCATGCAACATTCACCTGTTTCACCCATTTCTGTTACCTGTTGGGCCTCTGTAGACATTTGCAACTACTACCCCTGACCAAGTTCATAGAATTTATGGAAAGACCCAGGAAACCAAGCTCCAGTATGTGAGCCTGCCCTAGGTCTCACCATGGCAAAGCCAATATTAGAATGTAGGGATCAGAAGGTCTATGAATAGAGAAACAAATGAAGTGACCAATTTATTCACATAGCCGAAACACACACACACACACACACACACACACACACACACACACACACACATATGGCTAATAGGCAAAGTGTCCCCTCAGGAGTTTGACTGGGAGACCAGGAGTTCAATCACTATGACATGCGCTGAGCACCAGGGGGTGACATGGAATGAAGGGAGGTCTTGCTGGCATCTGGAAGGCCGTGATTGGCCCTGATCACAGGCTAGGCCTAGGGACCCTACCCATGCACGAATTTCATGCAGTGGGCCTCTAGTATATTAATATTGCCCCTTCTTCAGCATTGCTATATTTTTTTGCACACACTAATGTTACCTATGGCTTCATACTGGTTATACTTGAAAGTTACACAGATGCCAGTTTGTCCATTTCGTCTCCCTGTGGGTGGATAATCATAGCCTTCTTCAGGGATTGGAGGAAACTGGGGAATAGAATGAATCAGCCAGAACCCTTGGACTCTGTTCCACAGCAGCAAACCTACCAAAGATACAGTTAATACAGACACATTAGAAAAGCAAATCTCCTTTTTCAAATAGAGTTCAAAGTTACAACATTTAAGCCCATTTATACTTCAGGCTAATATTTTATTAGGCTGATAATCACAAGCTAATTTTTTCAGAGATTTCAAAAACAATTGCCCCATTTCTGATAATAAGCCTCCACAAAAGGGGACTGAGGGGGGCCATCCTGTGAAGAGTTAAGAGAAATTTCTTGTTGAAATAACAGAGAAAATTTGTTTTGACATAATTCAAATTTACTAAATTGGAATTTGACCTTGTTAAACTATATAGTTACCTGGAAAGCTTTAGATATGTCTTCACTGCTAAGCAGCTAAGTTATTATCAAAAGCTGTCTAAAGAGCAGAGTTGAAAGAGAAAATATCAAATGAAGAAATGTACTTGCACTAATTATTTGTTGTAAGGAACTGGTGCTCATGTATTTGCAGAAGAATCACACAATTCCACAAACCAGGGAAAAAAAAGAATAAAAAAGAAAAAAAGGAAAACCATGCTGAAGCATTTCAGTTAATTGTGTTTAGTAAAAATCTCTAGAGCCAAATAACTTGGAAGCCAGCAAAGAAGAAATTCTCATCATTTTGTGATATGGCAAAAAGAACCTCATCCAACAGCTATCCTATATAATGATACATATATCCAGTGACTGAATGGCAGAACGACTTGAACAACTGTGGCCCCTCACGCTGGCCACCCCACCACCAATCAGCCCCCATCAGGGCAGGCTGACTGGATCCTACCAGTGCATGAATTCATGCACCAGACCTCTAGTATATTTATAAACACAGATATAGTCATAGATCCCGGTTGGGCCAGGCTCTTTTTGCCATATCACAAGATGATGAAAATTTCTTCTTTGCTGACTTCCATATTATTTGGCTCTAGAAATTTTCATCAGCCCACAGACTGTAAGGCTCCAGGTTCGATTCCAATCAAGGGCATGTACCTTGGTTGCAGGCACATCCCCAGTAGGAGGTGTGCAGGAGGCAGCTGATCAATGATTCTCTCCCATGTTTCTACCCACTGAGCCAAACTGGTTAGGGCATGTCCCTATTTTTTTTTTTTTAATATTTATTGATTTCAGAGAAGGGAGAGGAAGAGATAGATAGAAACATCAATGATGAGAATCATTGATCAGCTGCCTCCTGCATGCCCCTACTGAGGATCAAGCCTGAAACCTGACTGGGAATCATATCATGACCTCCTGGTTCATAGATCAATGCTCAGTCACTGAGACCCACCATCCGGGCCCCATTTTTATCAATGTACATTGGCAAGGTCTAGATAAAAGCTGAAATTGCCCAAACTCCTTTGCACTAGGTTTCTGGATATGAATTCATTTCTGCTGATTAGATGTGCTTGCACAATATTTTGAAGGCAAAAGTGGGGCAGAGGCATCTTCCTGCAGTTTGGGCTGTTTGCTGCTGGTGACCATGTTTGCAGAGGTGTGGAGATTTCTGCAGCAGAATCCAGGCTGTGCACAGGCAGTTGTGGCAGAGGCAGTGCTTAGTGACTGGAGGGCACTTGCTGGGCAGCAGTTTCCTGATCCCCGGGTCACAGCTGTGCCAGAGTGTCCTTAGAATTCAGTTGTGGCTGAGGGAGCATTTCCTCCCACTGGGCAGGGAGTCTTTCCTTGGGGCCCAGCCTAACACCCACTCCTCCAGCTTTCCAATGATTGCCCAAGCACTAATTCCCTGTGCTAAATTCTTTCCTGCCTAAAATAGCAAAGATCTAAAAACATTTTGGATCCTCTACTTTCAACAAAAACAATGCTGCACAGGGTCGGGTCTGAGAAGTGGGTGAGGTGTTGCGGAAGGCTCCCTTCTTTGAGGCTCAGCTTCCTCTTCTGTAGAACCGAGACCAAAGATTATCTGTTCATAGTTACTAAAGACCGAGGCAGCTGTGTTTCCTGAAGATGGCCACAACATTTCTCTGTGGCCTTGCCACTTTCTACCATGTCCTCTCTCTTGAAGCGGGCTGACCTCTGATGCACTGGTAGCCAGCACACTGTTTGCCTGCAGAATTCCAAGGCCAAAGCCTAAAAGGCCCGGGGCTGCAGCCCCACCCAGTCCTCCAGGGTTTCCAGATCCAACCCCCTTTCCCCCCCACCCCCCCCACCCCCAGTGCTCAGGGCTCTGGTGGCCCAGGGCCTTGCCCTCCTCGCTCGCTTCCCCTTCGGTGGGCAGCCCAGTGCCTCACTGCACACCATGGCCCACCTGCTAGTGCTGCTGGGCTCAGAGGTCAGGGTAAGAGCCCAGGTCAGGCCTCGTGCCTCCTGGCTCCTGTGTGCCCTATTCCTGCCACAGCTCCACCTGGGGCCAGATGCCCGAGTGCTGTGCATGGCCTGCAGGGACTGCTGTGGCCACCAGGAAAGCTACCCACCCCATCCCCGACTCCGGCTTCCTGATTCTGGGTCCACTTCTGCCACAAAAGAGCTTTCCCTTTGCAGCTGTCTGAGACCGAGCACCTCCAAGGTCCCTGGATCCCAAATTTCTGCCAGCCAAGGTAGTTGGCTGGCGAGCCCCACCCTGATTGGGGTGTTGGGGGTGATCCAGCCTGAATCAGGCTGGTTGGCTGCCGCAGTGTGTATCATAGCCACAGGTCGTTCTACTTGTCTTGGTCATTCCGCTGTAATGGTCTCTGGGTTTATATATCTATATATCTATATAATGGTCCCTGGGTTTAGATATATAGATATATAGATATATAGATATATAGATATATAGATATATAGATATATAGATATATAGATATATAGATATATAGATATATAGATATATAGATATATAGATATATAGATATATAGATGTATAGATGTATAGATGTATAGATGTATAGATGTATAGATGTATAGATGTATAGATGTATAGATGTATAGATGTATAGATATATAGATATATAGATATATAGATACATAGTTACATAGATACATAGATACATAGATATATAGATACATAGATACATAGTTACATAGATACATAGATACATAGATACATAGATACATAGATATATAGATATATAGATATATAGATATATAGATATATAGATATATAGATATATAGATATATAGATATATAGATATATAGATACATAGTTACATAGATACATAGATACATAGATACATAGATACATAGATATATAGATTAGGGTAGTTTTGGTAGTTTTTGTATGCTAACAAAACTTTCTAGTTTGTATATGACCATGCAAACATAAAACTCATTCACGTTTGCCTTATTGTTAAGTGGAAACCAAATGCCTGCCAATTCTTTCTCTTTCAAAAACACACTTAAGAAAGCACACTATTGCTCTCTCAATGCATATAAAGTCAATACCTGTGTATGAATAGAAAATGTTCAAAATTCTGTTGCTTATCTGAGCTGGATAACTTTCAGGGGCTATCTTCTGCTCAGATGAGTGTGCTATTTGGCTGAAATCTTAACCTCCTGGTATGGATGCCACAGGAAGTCACAGGATGTTCTCTCACCTGTTGGCAAAGAGAACTTTTCCGTTTGACATTAAGTCCCAGTCCTTTTCCAGTCCCTTTCCTCCTCCCTTCCCCAAATCCCTGTTGCAACCAACAGAGTGAAGAGAGTGATGGTGGGAGATAGTTGGTTGAGAAGTGAGAGAATGTGGAATATTATAAAAATTGTTGGGTTCCATGCAAATAGGAGGGCAACTTGGGCTAAATCAAAAGCATTCAATGCTCATGACATTTGACAGCCATTACAAATTATATTCTAATCAGAGGTTGCAAACTGGCAGATCCATATCATTATGCTTACAGAGTATTTTTTAAAACTTTGAATTAATTGCCAACATTTAAACACTGAAGAGATTTCCCACAAATACTAATTTTCAATGTCCTCTGAAAAATTGCATTCCAATAAGACATGCTAAGTAGTAACTGCCCCTTTAGACCAAGTATGTAGTCTCTACCTTCCCAGGTACCTTGCTCGTTCTGCCCACTTAACTTGCTGACATTTCTTGCCTGTTCCTGAAAACATTTGGGTTTGGAACCTTTTGAATACTTGCTGCCATGAAAAGTTATTCATAATATGTTAGGTTGAATAAAGATTAAAAACTAGTCATAATGATAGTTTTATAAAAATGTTTTAAAATATGTTTGATAAATAGAGTGGTGAGGACCTGTGAGGGGTTGGTAGGGGCTGGGAGAAGGGTGGAAAGGAGGAGAAAATGGGAGATTTCTCTAATACTACCTACAATAAAAACATATTTAAAAAATATGCTTGATAGAAAAATTTAGAAAGCATTAAATGTGATTATCTAATGTGTATTAAGATGATAGATTTCTTTCTGTTTACTGACATTTTGAACTTTTCTAAAATGCATGTACATGTGTAGATGAATATCTTATAAATAGAAAATACTAAAAGTTACTATAATATGTAATAATATATAACAAAATTACTATAATGTAAAAACTAAAAATAAAATTTTATATTTATAAATAAACATTTAAAAGTAAATGTTTATTTCAAAAGGAACTAAACACTAAGAAGAGTAAGTTTTACTCTATGTAAATTATAACTAAATAAACCTGACTAAAATGTGCGGGTATACACACTGAGACACACATACATGTATAAATATATATATGTATATGTATATACTGGCTACTTTTCCCTGTAGTCAGTACATAAATTTCTGTTTTAAAGCATATATCTAAAAATATGTTAACAAAAAGGCATTTGTGAAAAGGAAATTATGTAATTATAACTTGTGATAGAGAAATCACATGTTTTCATAACTCAAAATAAAGCATTAAAAATGAAAAGCTCTCTTTTTAGTGTGGAATATAAGAATATTGAAGACAGCCGGGACCGGTTTGGCTCAATGGATAGAGCGTCGGCTTGGGGACCGAAGGGTCCCGGGTTCGATTCCGGTCAAGGGCATGTACCTTGGTTGAGGGCATATCCCCAGTAGGGGATGTGCAAGAGGCAGCTGATCGATGACTCTCTCTCATCGATGTTTCTAACTCTCTATCTCTCTCCCTTCCTCTCTGTACAAAATCAATAAAATATATTTAAAAAGAATATTGAAGACAAAATATTTAAGAAAGTGTTGACTTTCAGTAAGAAAGAGAAATTAAGAGCCTTTGTCATACCTTTGGAATGTCCGTATTTTCTGCTGTAATTCACAGATTTAGGGACTGCGTCATTGTACACTAGATAGGCGGTGTTGTTATTCTGCAGGAACATATTAGGGTTAAAATGGTGCAAATCTTCCACTTACAAATGCTCACAACATTTCCACCAGCTACCTAGCCTGCAATGCAGAGTTTTCATTAATATGCATGAGAAGTCATCCATTCCCTTAATGGGCAGCTTCCCCATCAATCTGAATTCTGGAATCTACAAGACCAGGGCCAGAAAATCCATTCACTCCCAGGCATGGCTTTGCCTTGCATGGCAGGAGCCTTATGCATTGTGATGTGTGTGAGGATGACATTTCTATATCTCTTGGTTGTTTTGGACCCATGCTCCTGATTAATCACCGGTGTATAATAAAGAAGTAGTTAAGTATTTGTTCAGGAAATGAAGTAGGAACAACAGAACAACCAGCCAAGGATTACACCGGGGATTTTCCTGTTGATAGTATAGGCACAATGCAGAACAGGTTGTTAGGATCTGATTTCTTCTGCCCACTTTGTGCTCTGCTGCTTGGGCGCGGCGCTGTGTGGAATCAGGATTTCTCATTCTTGGTCCCCTACCTCACTGACTGGAGAGGATTTTCCTTCGGTCCCTTTCTCTATCACTTTACCTTCCTGAATTGGTGTTTTCCTGCTTAGAAAAAGTGGTGAAACTGCAGGTGTGGTATTGGGTTTCCTCTGGTAACCCAAAATACTAATAAATTCTCCAAAATTAAGCTACTTTTTTGAGAGTATCTCAGTGTCATGTTTAGAAACTTACTTGCGTTCGCTCTGTGTGGTTTCATTTCCTGTGTGTCATGAAGCAGTGATCTTTATTGAATCCAATAATGTCGATATTTTTAAAAATCTCAGTGACAATTAAAAGCAGAAAAGGACAATCTGTTTCCTTAAGAAAGGCCTTTGCTTTTCCCTCTCAAAAAAAAAAAATCAATCACTGAATCTTTTATAGCTGCTTAATTATTTGATGTAATCTAAAAACATTTGTAAAAAAAAATGTGCAGCATAATCTGTGAGGCATTCATGGCTACTGTATTTAGAAACATCAGGGCAGTAAGCTGTATCTCACCCTCATTTTCCACAATTGACCATAGCTACCGTTGGCGTTTGCATCCTTCTCTGGAGACCTCTGACAATTATTTGTTAAGCGGGCAGCAAATGTGGTAAGGAGGGCAGTGTGTGCCTTTGGGGTGCAATGTGGAGGGGCTCTGGAAAGATTCAATGAGGAAATTTATTCTTATATTATGATGACGTTATTCATTCTTACCAGGTTTTAACAACTAGCTAAGGTTATAGGGGTTGTAGCCCCGTAGTTGGAATAACAGCTCTCTGACATAAAGGAAAGATCATGGACTTAAAAATAAGCATAAGTAAGCGTGTGCCTTTGGACAGCTTTATTCCTTTAACACATATGTGAGTATTATTTTGACTAGTGAACAAGAAGGGTATGGTCTCTGCCTCCAGCCTAGCTGGGTAAATATAGACAGACAGGTACAGACAACAGAAACATTGTTTGGTGTTGTTAGGAAGGTGTATGAAAGGTTCTTGTTTACAAAGGCAAAAGAAGAGAAACAATTTTAAATGTCATCCAGATATTGGTTTAGGTCACCTTGACATGTGAGACTTAAAACCAGTTGGTCTGACCTTGCATTCTACTCTCAGAAGTTCAACTCCAGGTCAAGAGGTGGGGAATTATGTTCTCGTGGTCACAGAGTTCCAGTTTCCAAAAAGCACCCAATCTCACCTGGATATCACCCACTATTGTCCTTCTTCTTCTGGTTCCATGCCAATCAGACCTGGAAGTCAACCCCTTTACTGTAATTTCTTCCCTAGAACCATCACTCAAGGCATTGTGTCTGAGCAGGTTTTCATGAAGGTATGAACATTGAATAATTGTACATGATCACGCTGACCTGCCCCCAATTTCCCTCCATGTTTCTTTTGCTTTTCAATTCATAGCTCCCATCTATACCCTTTTTTATATTGCAGAGCAGTTTAGCTCTCTTGCCCTCCTAGGCTCTGATTTTGAGCCTCCAAACATTATTATATTCTGCCAAACTATGAGCCCTCTGCCCCAACTAAGGTTACTGACAGAGGTTCATGGCTGCTCCTCTCCACTCCCTCAAACCCGCCTCCCCCATTCAGTCTCCGAGACTGGAAGGGAACAATGTGTGTATTTTATCACTGCTGACTTGTATTCAGGCCTTTAGCTCCAGCCTTGGAAAGCAGAAGCAGCCACAGGCGATTTCGATTTTACATAATAATCTATTCAAAACGGAGTTGCTGCTGAGATAAAATATTCTTTTTAAAGCTCCCAGAGCAGTGCCTGGCACCTCACAGGTAGTCAAACAGCTTACAAATAAGTTTTGACTTTGAAACTTGGCTCTAAAGGCTGTGAACATTAGCAAACACAGTGACAGCTCTCTGCACATTTTGAATAAATACTCAGATTCACATGCACAGCAGTGTCAGAGTCTCATAGTACTGCTGGGGGATTAATTAGTGAATGTATGTAAAAGCCCAGAACATTGTAGGTGCCGAGTCATTTTATGTATTTATGTAAGTTGTTTGTTAGCAAATGCAGACCTGAGTGTACTTATTGTTTGATTTTACTTGTCCCCCCTGATTGAAAGCAGTATCTTGTTACTGAACCACAGATGGTGCCAGGGATGCCAGGAAACTGCCCACGTTGAGCCAGCAAGCCTACTTACCTATGTCTCTTTTGCTGGTTAGCTCATCGCCTGATGAAGGCCAGATAGCAGGTTTAATCTCTATTCACACAAGTGAGATCTAGGGTCTTGAACAAGAGTCTAGGCCTCAACCTACCATTTTGGAAAGATTAATGAAAAGGAAGACTGGGCGACCCCTTGCATAGGTCACCCCCACTTATGGCTTAAATAACTCCGTAATTAATGCCAAATTGATCAAAGATCTGCATTGCATTGTAAAAGGAACGGGTACTTCTCCAGAGTTCCATTAGAGGGATGAGATAGCCAGCAATGAATTTGGCAGCCAGAAGACTTTACTATTTAATTAGGTCACACCTTGCCCAGTGATACCACTGGACACGGTGCTGAATGTATCAACAATTTGTCATTACTGCAGAGCAGCAATTTTCAATCTTTTTCATCTCATGGCACATATAAACTTATCGCCAAAATTCTGCGGCACACCAAAAAATACATGTTTTGCCAATCTGACACACAAAAAAAAGTATAATTTTGACTCATTCACACAAGATGGCTATTGTCTTAGCGGTTGTAATTTTTTGATTTGACAATCTAAGGAAAAAGAGGTCAGTGCCCCTGACTAACTAGTCAGGTATTGCATGCTTTAAAAATTCTTGCGGCACCCCAGTGAGCCTGACATGGCACACCGGTTGAAAATCGCTGCTGTGGAGTCTAATGCCATATTCCCTGAGGTCTTGCTCAGATTGATTCAGATTGTGAATCAAGGTGCAAGGGTTGGGGGTTGGGTAGCTGAGCAGTCAAAATCTTTTGGAAGCATTGGATTCTGTTTTTGGCATTTGTATATGATTTAAATGAATAATTAGCTGTCACATACCTTGGAGGCATAGGCTTCATACAGCTGTTCTAATGTCCTTCCCAAAACGCTCCTGGAGCTGTTCATCAGCTGCTTGCTCTTCCTCCAGCTTCTGGTTGTAGAGTCCAGGTACAGGTATTCTAACCCAGTCTTCATACTTTCCTCGTTTTGCCTTTTAGGTAATTTATAAAAGGCAAACCTAGCAAAGGCAATAATTATGAATGGCTAAAATATATTGACTGCTTCCCTGAAGGCAGCCACTTAAATATAAGCACTTAAATATATCATTTCACTTACATTTCATGAAGGCCTCTAAGTCTAAGGAAAGGAATGTGCTCAAGCCCTCACCTGTTTCCCCCCACCCTTATTCTTTTCTTTTTTTAAATATAGTTTTATTGTATTCAGAGATGAATGGAGAGAGAGAGAGAGAGAGAGAGAGAGAAAGAGAGAGAGAGAGAGAGAAACATCAATGATGAGAGATAATCATTGATCGACAGCTTCCTGCATGTTCCCTGCTAAGGATTGAACCCAAAACCAGGCCATGTGTCTCTGACCTGAATCAAACCCGGGACCCTTCAGTCTGCGGGTGGATGTTTTATGGGCTCCCACCCTTATTCTGTTTGTTCCCAGAGAAGGAAATGTGAACCTGACTGGACATATTCTAAGACATTAGCCGGCCTGGTGGTGGGATTCAGGAATACTGAGAGTGCCTCTCTCTGTCGTTTCCACAGTCCATTCTGCTACACTGAGAGGAAGGCCAAGGCCCAGGCCTGGACTGGAGAGGTCTTTGGTGTTTTTTTTTCTCTTCTGCCCTAAGTTCACCTTTGTGACTGGCTGTCTGGTCTGAGATTTGGGTTTGGGCTTTCAGGTAGGTGGAGGCTCCCTGAGCCTCTGGCCTAAGCCACATTGTTCAGTTCAGGTTCTAAGAATGCTCTGCATTGAGAGTCCAGGGCCAAGGCCGGTTAATTAAGTAGGCTCCGTGCTTTCCATCACTACTGTCTCCTGTTTGCATATCTCTTTGGGGGAGGAGAGATGGTTGGGCCAATATAGCATATGGGCATGTTTGGATCATCCAGCTCAGGGTGGGTTGCTCTATTCACATTTTTGAGCCAGATCATTCTTTGTGGTGGGAGACTGTCCAGTGCATGGTAGCATCCCCGGTTTCCACCAATTTGATGCCAATAGCACTCCCCAGTTATGGCAATAAAACTGTCTGCAGACATTGTTGAAAGTTTCCCAAGGGCAAAATCATCCGGGTCCAGCCAAATACTCCCTAATGGTACCAACCCCACATCTAATCCTCAACACTCACAGTAAAGCAAACGTTGTAATGAATTTACTATTACCCCCAGCAGTGTTTCAACTACCCATAAAAGCTTCTCACTACTTACTTCGTTTTCTTCAATCTTAGGCTTCTAAGTAAATTTGTTCCTGCCCTGACCATGCTTTCTTACTTTCAGGGCAAGATCCTCACATGTGGCAGGAATCAAAAAAATTATTCTTTGGTACTGATTTAGTATTACTCCACCTTTAACTCTCACAGTAAGTGGTAGCAGCTTTAGACTGTCTTCACTGTCGGCTCAACTCGGCATTCCCTCCCACTGACATTGCTAAGTAATATGTCCATTTAGTTAGAGTAAGAAAAAAATGTAAATGTTTATAACAATTTGATGCCTCTCCCCTCTGGTTCCCCCAGTAAAGGGTGTGTAAACTACCCATTTGCCATGGCACAGCAGTTGAGAACTAGTGCTTTTAAGTATTTTTCCTGGATGGGCATCTCCAATTATATGTTGATGATTCCCTAAATCAATTTCTAGCCCAGATCTCTATACCGAGGTCAGATAAATCTAAATGCAAGAATGTTCCAGAGAGGATAATCTTTATATTTTTGAAACCAAGTTTATGATATTTTGCTCCAAGTCTCCTCATCCCCTGCCGTTAGGGAACACATTCCCGCAGTCACAGAAGCCAGCAATCTGAAAGTCTTTCTTAACTTCTCCCTTTCTCCTACGACCTTCAGCCATCCATTTCTAAGTTTTCTCAGAGTGTTCCCCCGTTTCTGTTTCCATGACCATTTCTCTAAGTTGGGTCTACACCTCTTCTCACGTGTAACACTGGAAAGGTCCTGTTGGCCCTCATGAGTCTAGACTGATCCCCAGCTGCCCAGCTCTCACAGTACTGCTAGCGGGCTTTCTAAAATGAGAGTAGGCCACATCTCTGCCTGAAGTCCTTCAGTAGCCTTTTCAGTCAAGTTCAGACTCTGGGGCTCAGCACATGAAGCTCTTCACCTATCTCCCTAAACTCACCTCCTACCATCTCCTCACCGTCTCCTTAGGTGTCAGCAGTATTGAACTGCTTTCAAACTTTCCCCCTTGTTTTTTGCCTCTGGACCTTCTCCTTGCTTCTTCATTGGCCTGAGAAGCCCTTGTATCTCCCTTGTTTTCCTAACTTAAATTTGTTCTTAACTACTTAGTTCAAAACTACTTACTCAGAGAAACCTGAGGGCTCTATGCTCCCCAATGCACCATCTATGCCCTTCCCACATAGCTATGAGCTCATTAGGGCAAATATGTTTTGTTGATATTTCTGTATTCAAAGCTCAGCACAGGGCCTGCTACGAGCTGAGTAACTGTTTGTTGAGAGGCTGAGTGAACGTGCCTGCGTTCTCCAGCCTGAAGTTTACACAATGCTTGACGCCTACCACAATGGCAAAGCAAAATACCCTAATTAAAGAGTGAAAAAGTGATCAAAGCTTTAGAGGAATCCACGGCTATGATGCAAAGCTGTGTTTAGTCGCTTTGATATTGCTCAAGAGGCCATTGACCTACCCCCAACTCCAATAGCTGCTTGTGCTGCCTAATAAATGAGGTGAACCAAATAGGACTGTGTACGATCCTGTCCTCTTCCTCATTGTCATAATGAAAAACAACGTAAGCTCCAGTGTTAGAAAGTAATCTGACTTCTCTCTTTTGTCAGTCTCTAAAGGGATCCTGGGCAGGTTCTGTTAGCAAAGTCACAATGCAAGGAAATTGCCAACTGAGAGAATCTGTCAGCTCTACCCACACCTGTGTCCACCAGTCTTGCCACTGAGAGCAGTGAGTCAGGCCCATAGGGCTCCTCAGCTCTTTCTCAGGGAAAGCTCCCTCACTGAGAAGCTTATCTGGATATTAGGCCCATTCACACACTTTCATTTCCTCTCTTTTTAAGGGAGCGGAGGGTGGAAGTCTCCGTTGGGAACTTCACAGTGAACCAATTTGCCTCTACACTCTGGCTATTTGCACTCACACAAAACCTTACATTTCTTTTACCTACCAATCCACAGCGTCACCGTCTTCATTTCTGCATGATATTGTCGCCTCCAGGACCCCGAAGAGGCCAAGGAAGAGCAAAGCCAGGGCTGTTCTTAGAAGACTTGCTGTCATTTTCCATCTATCACCTCTGTTCAGTGCCACAGCAGAAACTTCCCCTTAGGTTGTGGAATCTGCGTTTCAGGTCTCTCTCAGGCTGTGCTGGCGCTGACATTTGCTTTCATCTACCTCTGCTGTTTGTGGTTCTGGCATTTTCAGAATGGGACGAGTCTCATATAGTCCTGTGATTCTGTCACAACACGCTAGCTTGACTCCGGATGCTTTTGTGCTGAATTGTTGACTGGTTTGCGAAGTCATCAAAAAGTTCTAGAGAGAAAAAAAGGGACATAACTTAACCCTTTGGAGTGAACGTCGTGTAATGTAAAGTTCAGTAGACAAGGGAATTCCATGTTGATAAATAGATGTTGAATTAAATATATTTCATTTACTCTCTCCCCCTTTTCCCCCCAATGATTGTCTCTCTATGAATGAGAGCTAATCTTGTGGCTTACTCATTAAATAGAAATGACAACACCTTATGGTTTAGTAATAACTAAGATCTATCACTTGTAATATTCTCTATCTTGAGGAAACAGTTCCTGAAGGGTATTTCAAAGGGTTGTTTCAAAGTAAGAGCAAACTCAGTTGCATTTTACCAAAGGTGTTTACATATGCTCTCCACCTCCTGGTTTTAGCCACTCAACATGGTACTTTAATGAGGCCTTGGTGTCCAATTGGCTGAAATGCAATCAGGTAAACATATCGACCGCTTACTCTTCAGGCCAAATAAAAAATGTTAGAAATATCTGTTTTGCCCAAACTAGTCTATCTCATTTTTGAGACTGAATCTGAAGTAGAAGGCCAAGAGAAAATGGCGCATTACCATAATGACTATAAGGTGAGACCATTCTCTTTTTTAGAGGAGGGGCATATGAAAAGAATTCCTCTTTGATACTTTTGAATCAGTTATTAAAGATGCTGTTATAATAAATAGCAGTTAACCTCACGCCTGGAAATCATTATGGCTCTTATCATTCTTATACGCATTGATCCAGATAAAAGCCACTTCAGGATTCAGACCAAATGGACCTTTATGAATCAGATGAGTTCTGTGGTTAAATGGGAGTTGTTCAGGATTCTCAGGGTTTATAAAGAAGGGAGGGCTTGGGGTTCTATTTCTCCTAAAAAAGAATTTTGTGAGGGATGTTCAGACCACCCACTCACGTTTTCCCATGGTGCCTGTGAAAAAGGCAAAATCTTGGGCTTCAACTCAAACCTGCTAAATCAGAATCCTTCCAGTTAGGCCCAGAATTCTACCTTTTTCACGTGGTTTTTGGTAATGTTGGAGTACCTTCACTCCACGACTCGCTGCCCTGAGGCCAAGGCTATGCTGTGTCTGGTAGAGGCACAACCCACCAAATTGGTAAACCAAGGAACATTTTTCTGACCATTTCTCCATAGGCACTATTTTGTTTTATGTATGTTTTTACTGCATTCAGAAAAAGAAAAAAGGCATCTCAGCAACTCCAACCTTTTCATCAATTTTTAAAAAATTTTATAGCCTGAAGTTTACTTTTCTAAGTTAAAATGAAATAAAATTAATTTTATTTCTCTTGCAAAACCTTTTGGCATTGCAATGGTAATAGCTGAGTATTGCCAGGCTTATGATTCAGTGATACATTTAGAGAATAAAGAGAATATAAGCATCTTGTTTTCAGTTATGTAGGCTAAACATTTGTTGAATAAGATAGAAACTAATTTCTGCTTTCTCATTACATGCTTAGCCCATTGCCTGGCAAATAGAAAATGATCCACAAATATTAGCTAAGATGGTTTTTATTACAACCTGAGCCCTTTCTGTAATTGAGCTGGGGCAATTTGAATTAAGATTTTTTTTTTTTTTTTGCTAAATCTAATTTTATTTCAAGGGCTGGGAAAATGCTGGTGGGTTACTTACTTTCAAATGTTGCTTTCAGTAAGCTTTCTTATCTCCCATTGTTGCTGATGAGATCAAGCCGATTTCAGTCAACAACCTTCCTTATGCAATCACTTGAGGTTGTACACTGTGTTGGATGCTGTGGGGCTCCAGGGATTTCAACATCACCCTAAAGCCTAGATTCCAACGTGTCCCAGCTTTTACTAAAAATAGCAAAATAATGTTGTAGACAGAAACACAGTGAATTTGGTATACAGAGAAAATGTAAACTGGGCAGAATGTTTTTCACGATATTTCCTACCTTTTAAGCCCAAACAATATTATACAATATTATAAATATACTATCTTTGCCTCACAGCATAATTACATCTAAAAAATAGTAGAAAATCCCTTCGTTGTAACTTGGCCAAGTGTATTGAACAAGAAAGAGTTCTTCACTTGTTGATGGGCTTCTTATTTTATGGTTAAAAGTTTACATTTATTGGCCCAGTAATTCTAGAAAATCTCAGTCTTAATCTCTTGGAATTCTGCCTCTCCCACATTTGCTTTCTTATATATTTCTAGTAAATTTTACATCTCTTTCATGTATTCTGTCTCCTGTGTATTTGCATCAATCCTTGCTTCTTTATTTGGATTTATCTTACAGTTCTTTCATTCTCTCTTTGGTGCTATTAATCTATTAGTTAATCTGTTCCTTCCAATAACTAATCCACTTATTGGAAGCATTTAATAGAAGGTTTACCAGGTACTGGGTTCTTTTTTAAATTTACTTGGTCTTTTTCATGGCCCCTTGCTTCTTGTTCAAGAGAAGCTGCACTCTTATCTCAAGAAGAAGATAAATTCATTCTTCTCTCTTATGCCTATAAAAATATTACGTATACTTTTTTTGTACTTGATGTCTGATAATTTTAATATCTGAAGACTTTGCAAGTCACACTTTGTTGTCTGTTGTTTCTACAACTCATTGTGTACTTTTGATTTTGGACTATGAATTCGTGCTCTTTAGAAAAAAAAAAGGCATCTCAGCAATTCCAATTTTTTTCAATTTTTAAAAATTTTCATAGCCCGAAGTTTACTTTTCTAAGTTAAAATGAAATAACTTTTATTTTAACTTAGAAAATAAAAGCTTAATCTGTCAGAATTTTTTGAGACTGAGATAAAATTAAGTTTTTCTGGACCCTGGTCTGTGCTGGCTTCATCAAAGTTTAGTCATCCTGCCTGGCTGCTGTGGTTGAATGTCCACCTATGAACCAGGAGGTCATGGTTCAATTCCTGGACATGCAGGAGGCGCGGTTCCCAGTAGGGGGTGTGCAGGAGGCAGCCAATCAATGATTCTCTCTCATCACTGATGTTTCTATCTCTCTTTCCCTCTCCCTTCCTCTCTGTAATCGGTAAAAATATATTTTTTAAAAAGGTTTAATCATTCTGTAAGGATTCCTGACTTTATTTATTTATTTTCAATAGGCTTTTTAGGTCTGATTTACATATCATAAAGTTTATCTAAGTTCAACTTTTATTTTTGTTCAAATTTTAAAAGACTTCTGATGTATGGAGTAAAATCTAGAATCTGACAGACTGAGGGAAAAAGTTGATTCACTTGTTGAGGGAGAAAGGGCAGGGGACTTGAATTATTTTGATAAGAAGGGATGAGACAAGCAAAAAGACTCAGATATTTATAAAGAATTGTTTCTTAGAAATGTGGTTGAAGGAGAACATAGGTGGAAGAGAGCCAGAAAATTTTTATTTGGTTAATTCCTACTCATTGTTCAGTGGGTTTCATGAATGCCAATTCCTACTGGAAGCCATCCTGAATCTCTCTCCATCTGGCTTAGGTATCCCTGCAATATAGACCCAGAGCTCACCATATTTATTCAATTAGAGTAATTACAAGAATGTGTTCTGATTACTTGATGACTTTTTTGGATTACTTTAGAGAGTAGATGTCAGCAACCCCCTGTGAGCCAATTCTGGCCCACTGTCTGTTTCTATAAAAAAAAAAACTTTATTGAAACACAGTCATACTCATTCATGCATGTATTATGTAGCTACTTTATGCTACTATGGCAGAACTGAGCAGTTGCACCAGAGATCATAACAGCTTGCAAAGTCTAAAATACTAGCTTTCTGATTCTTTACCAAAAAAGTTTATTCTAGTGTATACTATCTATCAGAGTAGAACAGTGTCTGTCTTGTTTGCTGTTGTTTCTAGAGAGCTTACTGTGGTGCTTGTCACATAGGAGAAGCTAAGTAAATATAGGTGAACGTAGGAATTGAATGGAAAAGGGTTTGGGGTTATGTGAGTTTAGAATGAGTTAAAACTAACCAGAGAAATATCGATAAATAAAAGTGGTTATGTAGGTAAAGCCCCATTTTAAAGAACTTCCTTGTAATGTGTCAGGAAGGCAATGGGGATAGAGTGCAAATAATCAGGCAGATCTGGGTCCCATGCCTGCTCCCGGTGCTCATTAGCCAAGTGGTTTTGACCAAATGAAAATGATAAGCATCAGCTTCGTTTTGTAAAGGTGGGATTCATCTGCATGTTCACAGAGCGCTATCAGGTCTGGTGAGATGCTGTGTGCACAGCCTCTGACACACAAACAGGAGCTCATTCAATGCTGGCGCCTTCCCACCTTGTTTCCTTTTTTCCCAAGATGCATCCGCTTCTTTGTCCTTAAAGATGGACTAAAACCAGTCCATTGGTATCATCATGGTTCTAATGACCACACGCAAGTCTACATCAGCCAGATAAAAGTCAATGTTTAATTCAAACATAGTGCCCTGTGGTGAAAGGCAGGCTGAGTTTTCATCCTGCCCCAAAGGGCAATCACCCTTCGATTCCCTCCTTACTTCACAGCCTAACCGTTCTTGCAATAAACACAGAATCCATCTGAGCTTATACTTTCCCTGTAATTAAAAAAAAAATGACTAAAGTGCTAGAAAAAGTGATGTTTTGGTGGAGGGGACATCTCTCAGTGTTGGGTAAGTTCTGCCTAGCATAGTGTAAGTAAAATAAAACTTGATAGTCTCAGCAAGCTTTTTCTACTATACCTGTCTGCCTATCAGCTGTGTGACTTTGGGCAGCTCACTTAACATCTCTGAGCTAGTTTATTTTTATTTATTTATTTTAAAAATATTTTTA